CCCCCCCCCCCCGACTCGCCCTGGTGGAAACACATTCAACGTCAAAATATCACAAAACCTGGACACCTTCTACTTTGGACAGGTCATGGCCGGGAACCCGCAGATTCTCGCCGTGTGTAACCGGCTCCTGCCCGAAGACGTGCAATGGGAGAGCAGCGGCGTGGGGGGGCGGCCGCCGGCCCTACCGGCGCCAAGGAAGCCGCTGCTGACGCGAACAGGAGAGAGGACTTCAAACGCAGAGCGAGGGAGGACCACGCCCACCTCAAGGCCAAGTAAAAGGTGTCTAAGAACACCGGCAGCGTGCAAATGACGACCGCGGTTGCCATGCACTCAGTGGCGTCGGGACTTGGACTGCCCCCCTGCTGATTAAGCGAGCTATTTCGGCCAGCGTCCGAACCCGCCTCCGCCGCAGCACCTTGCTCGTGGGACATCGTAGATGCAAAGACCGGAAAATTGGCGGTTTTTGACACCTCGTTCAAATCTTTCCAAGCCACCAGGAGAAATCTCAAAGAAGCCAAAGCAGAGGCGGCAGGCGGCGACAGCACGGCGCGGGAAATGGTCGGTTTTCTGGAATAATATATCGCGAAGATTAGAACCCAGATGGCTGAAAGGAACAAGAGTCCCTCCCGATTTCACATGTGCTAGAGCGAGCGATTGTGTTTTAGTGGCGGTTGGTGTAGGATCGTTCGTGTGTGGGCGGGGGAGGGAGTGGGCAGGTCGCTTTCACTTGCCGTACCGTTTGTCTTTGGTCGGGTGGGTGTTTGACGAGTGTACCACGTGTAGAACACGCATGGAGAAAGCGTAGCGCACGCTTGAAGTTCGATGTTGTTTTTAGCCGCGTACAGCAGTACCTCCTTTTTCTTTTGTGTCTTTCACAAACCACAGCGTGTATTCGTAGATGACTAGGGGGGGGGATAGGCAGAGCGAACGTACGTGTGGCGCATAACCAAAGTTCGTTTTTTGTAGACACGTACAGCAGTACCACTTGTCTTTTTTTTTGTGGTGTTTTTTTACAGATGACTAGGGGGGGGGACACGCAGAGAGGCCGTGTGGCGCACGACCAAAGTTCTATTTTTTTAGACACGTACAGCAGCACCACTTGTTTGTTTTTGGTCGGTGTATTTATCACCAACCACCGTCTGCATTCGTAAATGCTTCGGAAACAACTTCCCCTCACGACGAGAACGTAGTGAAATACAATGTAAAACGCGTTTTGAACGTGGATCCATTCCCGATATGGTTATCCCGGGCTGTGGGAGCTGACCGTCTATGCCATGATGCTGTTCAGCCAATACTGTCTCCCTAGAGACAATATCGTGAAGTCAGAAAAAAAAAATCTGTTACCATCTCGCATTACACAACTATGACATGAGAAATTCCCCGACACAGGGGGGAGCGTGCTCACTCTTACCCTACATGCCCAACGTTAACAAAATAATGAGTTTGGAAACCTACATTCTTCTTCCACATCTCTGCAACATTCGGATTTTCTCGCGCGAGAGATGCAAATCGCAGGAATAACACCCAAACCAACGACGTCATGAAAAGCAACAATACTTTCGAAACAACACTAAATCTTACTGGACATCACTCAGGCATAACCCCGGTTTATGATGTTTGTAACACATTAAACACGACTTCCGCAAAATTGTCTCCATGTCCGTCCTCGTAGAGGTGCATGTGGATTTGGTGCCCGACCCTCTCCCCCCCCCCAANCCCCCCCCGCCCTACCCCACCAAAGGCGTTGCATTCCTGACCACCATTGTCTACATCCCCCACCCCGGCCATGGCCCACGCTCCTCAAAGGCCACCACCGCCGCATTTGGCTCGTCTTGTCCATCATCCATGTACGACGTCCTCGGGACCCACCCTCCACCGCAGCCCGCCCGCGTTCGATCCCCTACGTCTTCCTCGCTGCGTTGCGCACCAAGCTGTGCTTTGGACGGTACTGGCGCTTGGTGTCTAGCATCATCGTGATCCCCTTACGCGTGGAGACTTCGCCTGACCTGGTCGGTTTCTGTGCGTCCTTGGTGGTCGTGCTGAACGCTCTGGCAGAGTCTTGTCGCCGAGTAGGTGGGGGCGTAGCTGGACCACCTCCGCGTCCGTTTCCGACCGGTGGATTGGTGTGACGTTCGCGGAAGAGCGCAGTGATGAGGTCGCAGCGCCCAGCAAACTGAACACGCAACGGCTTCCACAGGATGCCCCACTGGCCGACAAGAATGCCGAACGCTTGCTCGATCCTGACTCTGAGCTGGCTCAGATAGAAGTTGAACGCATCTTTGTCCAGCGGCAGTCCCCTCCCTACCTGGGTACGGAGTCAACAGGTGGTCGCTTAGGGGATAAGCCGCGTCTACAAGCATGTAGAAGCCTGGCGGCAGTTTTTCCACCACTGCTGTGGATAGATCCGAATGATTCCATGCCGTCCAGTCATTGGTCGAGCCGGGTGCAATGCAAGACATGCTGCGAAAGCGGTAGTTGTCATCGCATGTCGCCTGTACTTTCATCCCGTAGCCGCACTTGCTCCCAGAATAACACGAGAGAACGTTCGGAGTGTTGAGGGCAGTCGGAGCAAGAGTCTTCACGAAGAGGCCATCCCCCGCAGCTACCACACCGTGAAAGGCGCCGCCCGTGCTTTGTTCCTGAGGACAGACATGGCACTCGGGGAGGGACACAACAGAGGCGCTCTTAGAATCGTTAAAGTTAGATTTTCAGGCAGTGGCGAGCCCATCGACTACCCCAACAAAAACGTACAGGTGTGTGCGAGCCATTAAAGACGAGGCCTCTCCTAGACATGCCAACCAATACAGTGCGACTGTTCGTGCCAATGTTCCCTGCAGGCTGGAGCTCATTTCATCATGCATCAAGCCAATACGTGGACGCAAGATATAGCGGTTTCTCAGTGCTGTCACAAGTGCTTCCCGCTCGCTCCTTGTTCGGTGCGTCTAGA